ATTTGTCCATTTCCTTTGCAAACCAGGTAGAAAATCCAAAATTACGCTGCAGTGGGATTAATCTAATGTTCTTTTTTCTAGTCTTTATCTTCAAAACAAAGCCCAATGTCAGTCTTGCCTCAAAAACTACGTATTCTCTAGTCTTAGGGAAATTATTTAGCTGAACTGTGTAAAACATGCAACCTGCAATTATGTTATTTCTTTTAATGCAAAAGTTAATACTGAATTGAAGTCCAAGGTGGAACTGTTGTGCAGCTGTCTTACACAGAGGTGCTGCAGAGGCAGTACCCAAAGCCTAGCTGGTAGAATTTATTTGCATTTGTGCTGACATCATGAGCTTACAGAGACTTCATAATTCCTAGGAAATTATGTGCAAAAAAATGCACATTAAGTCCAAGCAAAGAAGTTGCTAGATGTTTTCTGTTAATGCCATCTTTGTGTATTTGCTGGGTTACGTGATCCTTTGAAGATTGAGGATGAGGATTAGTTTCAGGTGTTTTAATTAAGAGAGCACTTGGTATTCAGCCTGAAGTGTTGAGAGACTTTGATAAAGAAGTTGCTAAAGTATTTTATACTGGAGTTCTCTCCTTGTGGAGAAAAAAATTGGTTTTCTGAAAGGTGTAAATGGAGTAAAAAAAATTGTATAGGAAACAGGCATTTGTCTGAAAGTTAATGCAAGGTTCCACCAAACTCAAACTCAACACACAAAAATGGAGACACTGAGTTAAGGTACACTTATTTATTTGACTGAGGGTACAAATATGCCAAGGGAAGCCAAGAATGGCAGATGTCACAGGACTGGGCTTATAGGGTTCCTACATCCTTGTTTGATACAGGTGGCATAAGCATGCTTATACTGACAGAAAAACAAGACAAACTCCAGCAAATAACTGTGCTTGTCTTACAGCAAGGGTGATCCTTGAGCTTTATAACATTGGTAAATCATGTGGAGCAGAGTGGGGAGAGAAGCAAAGGCTGGAAGCCAAGGGGAAGTTGAGGGCTTTTTGCCAGCTTCAGTCTGGGAGTCTTTGTCACTCTCATGCACTACAAAATGAAGTATTAAAAACTGAAACCTTGTCATTTGTAGCTTAACTTGCATTTGTCTTCACTGCAGGAATCCATTACTTTCATGTTGTGGAAGATTTTTTTTTTAATTGAAAAATCTATGATTTAACAATTTCAATGATTTCTATGATGATTTGTCTTGCTGTATTGTAGCAAGAGCTGGGCTGTGCTCAGTTGAAATGTAACATGAAGAGCTCTTGGAATTCTCAACCTGCCTGACCTAATTAGAGCCCTCCTCCTGTTTGCCATAGAAGAACTGTGTAAGACTCAGTGCCAGTGCTTTGAGTGGAGCTCATGCACACAATGGCTGTGCTTGCCTGTGCTGGCTGTTATGAGGTAGAAATTTAAGCTCATACTGAGCTGCTTAAATGGTACCACTGGGACCAGACCAAAAGCTTACCAGGAATCAGAGCCACATGTGATGCAGGGCTTGGATTTGAGTTGTGGTTTCAAAGGTCAGCAGAGCCAGTGCTGCTCAGTCCATGTGCTCTCGGCAGGCACAGCAGACAAAGAGACAAGTGCACAGATGAACTGCAGTGACTTCCTAGGCTGCTGATGCCCTCTGTGCTCTAGCAGTGCCTGAAATGCTGCTGGAAATGGAGCAGGTAAGGCTCTGCATGTTTGCATTAACAGGTTGCTACCATATTTTGGTTACAAAATCAAGGGAAAAACAAACTGAGAGGGAGGAGAGAGAGAGAGAGAGACTTAATTATGCTTTAGCCTCTGTGAATTACAATCTGAAATGTTAATTTAAGGAGTGGTCCATTTAATCACCCAGGGAAGCATAATGCTTAAATGACTGTGATCTAGACAACAATACAATTCTTATTGTAAAATAATAGTGTTTCACAAAGTGCATATAACAACAATAAAGAAATTTAAAGTATAGGTAGAACACTGTAGAACTTGAGGTAAATATTTGATGAAAAATTAGATTAGAGAATATAATGAAAATACAGAAACTGCATATAATTTAACTTAATCTGTGACAAAGATGAGAAGATGTTTTACAGGCTGATTGATGATTGTAGCTTGAGATTTCAGTGTTCATGCTTTTGTATTTTTCTCCTGTTCTGAGCCCAGAAGACAAAATTTTTATTTCTCCATCATGGTTTTTGTGAAAATGCATAAGGAGCTCTTCCAAGCTGTACTGGGAGGAGATGGTGTGACATCTGGTGTACTGGGAGTTCTTGCCTCCATGCTGCTAAACAGTTTGGTATTTCTTTGTAGTTTCTTCTTGTTTTCAAGTTATGAATTACTGATATTTTGAAATAGAATTCTAAGGTTAATGGAAGGGAATTAAATGTCAAGAACTTGTTACAGGGGAAAGAACGGCATCTGTATTCCATGAAGGCAGAAATTGGCTGAAGTGGTTTAATTTATGTATATATACACATTTTTGTACTTTAAATGTTGTTTGTCATAAAGGTAATTACAATATTCTGTAAAATTTCAGTATGATTCCATTAAATTTTGGTAGATGTTTCTGGTTTTCTTCCTTAAGTACTACAAATTAAAACTATTTTAATCAAGTCAAGCTGAAATAAATCCATTGGCATAGATACAAGTGTGATGTAGCTACAGTGAGTTTTGGCCAGTAATTTTTATGCATCTACTTATCTTCAGTTCTCCAGCTAAAAAAAAAAAGTGTCTCTTGCCTTTGTGGGTCAGAAATGGTACAGTAACATTTCATATACAGTATCCTGTTACTGTCAGAATTTTGTATTGAAAAAGAAACCAAATCTCTCACCTTGTAAGCATGTAATGGTACATTCAGGATCAGTACTGTAAGCAGTGATTGCTCTCTCAAAAACAACCCCTCCTTCTCTGTGGGTGTTACCTGTTGCTTTTACATCAGACTGTATAAAGGCAATTGAAAATGCTTTTCTCCACTCTAATTTAGTTTTATAGTGAATATATAAATTTGACTATAAATGACAGAGCTATATGCAGGCGGCAGGCACAGCAGACAAAGAGACAAGTGCACAGATGAACTGCAGTGACTTCCTAGGCTGCTGATGCCCTCTGTGCTCTAGCAGTGCCTGCAATGCTGCTGGAAATGGAGCAGGTAAGGCTCTGCATGTTTGCATTAACAGGTTGCTACCATATTTTGGTTACAAAATCAAGGGAAAAACAGAGTGGGAGGAGAGAGAAAGAGACTTAATTATGCTTTAGCCTCTGTGAATTACAATCTGAAATGTTAATTTAAGGAGTGGTCCATTTAATCACCCAGGGAAGCATAATGCTTAAATGACTGTGATCTAGACAACAATACAATTCTTATTGTAAAATAATAGTGTTTCACAAAGTGCATATAACAACAATAAAGAAATTTAAAGTATAGGTAGAACACTGTAGAACTTGAGGTAAATATTTGATGAAAAATTAGATTATAGAATATAATGAAAATACAGAAACTACATATAATTCAACTTAATCTGGAGACAAAGATGAGAAGATGTTTTACAGGCTGATTGATGATTGTAGCTTGAGATTTCAGTGTTCATGCTTTTGTATTTTTCTCCTGTTCTGAGCCCAGAAGACAAAATTTTTATTTCTCCATCATGGTTTTTGTGAAAATGCATAAGGAGCTCTTCCAAGCTGTACTGGGAGGAGATGGTGTGACATCTGGTGTACTGGGAGTTCTTGCCTCCATGCTGCTAAACAGTTTGGTATTTCTTTGTAGTTTCTTCTTGTTTTCAAGTTATGAATTACTGATATTTTGAAATAGAATTCTAAGGTTAATGGAAGGGAATTAAATGTCAAGAACTTGTTACAGGGGAAAGAACGGCATCTGTATTCCATGAAGGCAGAAATTGGCTGAAGTGGTTTAATTTATGTATATATACACATTTTTGTACTTTAAATGTTGTTTGTCATAAAGGTAATTACAATATTCTGTAAAATTTCAGTATTATTCCATTAAATTTTGGTAGACGTTTCTGGTTTTCTTCCTCAAGTACTACCAATTAAAACTATTTTAATCAAGTCAAGCTGAAATAAATCCATTGGCATAGATACAAGTGTGATGTAGCTACAGTGAGTTTTGGCCAGTAATTTTTATGCATCTACTTATCTTCAGTTCTCCAGCTAAAAAAAAAAAGTGTCTCTTGCCTTTGTGGGTCAGAAATGGTACAGTAACATTTCATATACAGTATCCTGTTACTGTCAGAATTTTGTATTGAAAAAGAAACCAAATCTCTCACCTTGTAAGCATGTAATGGTACATTCAGGATCAGTACTGTAAGCAGTGATTGCTCTCTCAAAAACAACCCCTCCTTCTCTGTGGGTGTTACCTGTTGCTTTTACATCAGACTGTATAAAGGCAATTGAAAATGCTTTTCTCCACTCTAATTTAGTTTTATAGTGAATATATAAATTTGACTATAAATGACAGAGCTATATGCAGGAAGTATCAAATGGTGTTTTGAATTTCTAATTGTGAAGTTCCACTTTGTTTTTTACAAATGAGATCTCACAATAGAAAGTGCACAGTTTCAATAGCAGAAGTGTGGTCAGCTGTTAAAACGCAGCACCGCACGCGCTCACTGTTACTGTTTTGAAGCACCGTGAACGCGAGAATAGGAGCGGCCTGCAGGTAAGGCTCGCGGTGCCCCGGGAGCACAGGCACCCCTGCCGTCCTTCTCCCCCAAGGCCAGCAGCGTTCGGGGTGGCGGTGGCGTGCTGCCGCGGGTCTGTACCGCGGTGCGGAGCTGGCTGCGGGCGCTGAGGGCTCCCCGGGCGCTGAGGGCTCCCCGCTCGCTCCGGCCCCGCCGCCGATCCCACCCACCCCGTGCGGGTCCTCCCTGTCGCGCCGGGGGCGCGCCTGCCCCTTTAAATACCCGTCCTGGCTCCGCCCCCTCCGGCGTGCCTCGGCCAATCAGCGGGCGCCGGTGGGAGGCGCGTGCGTCGGGCGTGCGACGCGGCGAGGGCGCCCCCCTGTGGCGCGGCGCTCAGCACGGGCGCGGAGCCTCGGTCGCGCAGCGCCGGGAGCCGCGGGCGCGGGGCTGCACCGGGCTGCACCGCCATGGTGGGCCGGGAGAAAGAGCTCAGGATCCGCTTCGCGCCGGGACGCTGCGAGCTCGTGGAGGTGAGGGCGGAGGGGCGGGCAGCCCGCCGCGGGGCGGCTGTGCAGCGCGGGGCCGGGCGGGCAGGCCCGGAGCGCTGACGCGTTCGCGGCGGGACCGGGCCTGGGGGGCCGCTGCCGCTGGGGCTGAGCCCCGAGGGGCCGCGGCTACCTGAGAACCGCGGCTGGGAGCGCCCCCGGGCTCCGGGAGTTGGGTCATTTTGTATCCGCACGGCCCCGCCGCCGGGAATAGCCAGCGGGACGCTGTGCTCGGCAGCCCGCGGCGCCCGGGGGTCGCGGCGCCGCTCTCGGCGGGCCCGAGGCACAGGGAGGGGCTCGGAGATGGAGACCGTGTGCGATGGTTCCACAGAGGATTCCTCCGGGAGGCGCCTCCGTGCCCGCTGTCCCGGGCGGGGTCCGTGGTGCCCTCAGGTGTACGTGAGCTGCCGCAGCAATGGGGGCTGGCCGTGTGGGGAGGGGCAGAACAACTTCTGCCAACACGAATGCGGGGTCACCTGTTGTTGCGAGCCTTCGCGGAGCCCCGGGGTTTGCCTCTTGCTTTCTGCGGCTGCAGGGCATGTCAGAGCTGAGAGAGCTCCGTCTCACGTTCCCTTCCCTGTAGTGGCTTGGATCTCATCGGATTATGTTGCAGATGTTTTACACCGGTAGCTTCCGGGTTTTGGTGGCCATTCCTGAAAACTGGTGGTTTTAGTTCAGCATGATTTTCTAAATAAAAATATAAAGCTTAAAAAGCTTTATTATAAACTTTAAAAGTAGTTTCTGGTTTTCAACTTGAAATGCATCATGTTTTGTTCTTTTTATAAAATATACTGTGAGTTTATATTTAGTAGTGTTTGCAAAGTGATATATGCTGTTTTTAACCTGATAATGTTGTGACTTTTTTTTTATCTGAATTAGACTTTTTTTCTTCTTCTTGGTTAATATGGACATGAAATAACAATAAATAGGATGGTTCATTATAAACCTCAAAATTGCATGTTTTGGTAGTGTTAATAGACCATAGAAATGCGTTTTAACCTGATAATGTTGTGACTCGTTTATTTTTATGTGAATTAGACATTTTTCTTTTTCTTGGTTCATATGGACATCAAATAACAATAAATAGGATGGTTCATTATAAACCTCAAAATTGCATGTTTTGGTAGTGTTAATAGACCATAGAAATGCTGCTGCAGCTAGGTGATGTCCTGTGAAGGAGCAAAGCAGCATACAGGGAAAGAGTTCATCTGTTCAGGATTTTTATCACCAGAATGCTAAAACTTCTGGCAAGAAAAGGTTTCAACTGGTAAATTGGTTGGTGTTGGATATACGACAAACATCTATAATTTCTTTGCCCTTTCAGAAACAAAGGGCAAGACAAATGATAGGTACAAGTGACTGAAATCAATCAGTCTTGCAGACAACAGCAGTAGCATGCAAGCTGTGCTTGGTGAAAGCTGTGTTTGTGTCCAGTTCAAGCTGTGTTGCTGATGTAACATCCTCTTCATGATATATAAAATAAACAAACTTAGATGAATGAGCTTCTAAAACGTCAGGTTTTGCAAATCACACTTGGTTTTGGGTTGGTCACTTCCTACTTGCTGAAGATACTCAGTGATGTTTTTGGAGAACCTTTTGACTTCGTTCTGCAGCAAGTGTTGGATATTTATTAGTGGGCACCTCTGGATGTTGAACTCTGATCATAGGTCCTGTGACACTGTGCAGACTTTGCTGACAGAAGTACTACAGAAGAAAATAGTAGTAGCATGTTCTTGCTCATGCTGTTCAGAGAAGCCTGAGTAGCCTTAAAAATGGTAAACCAGGTTGTGTTCTCGTAAAATTTAAGCAAAAAAGTAACTTTTTGAAATGTCACTTGCTGTAGTCTGTTACTTTCAGGTGGCTGTCCAGATGTAAATTATTAATTTTCATCTAGCACTAATGGGAATAAATCAGCCTTCATCTGGAGATTGAGAGTTGAGAAAAATGCATGCACTGTGCTGGCAACTTGGACTGTTTTGGGTAGGCTGTTTCCATCGTGCCCCTCTGCATAGACCCTTATGGAACAAAAGCTTTGTAACGTCACAGATGAAAGACAGTAATTTGGGAGTGATTGCTGTGGCTTCCTGTGCTGCAATCAAAAAGTAGCAGTCTGGTACAATGCTTAGAAATTACTGGGCTGTTAAGATTGCATAGCAGAAAGCATTCTATGATGTACAGAATTATAGTAATTTGTCACAAATTGTCCTTGTGTGTAAAGTGGTCAGGAAATCCAAGATTTGTGGGTTCTGCACACCCAAAGTTTTTTTCTGCACAGGCATGGTAAAGATATGCTTTCATTTTTGTTTTTAGCAGGCAGTTTTTGGGTTTATTCGTGGCTGATACAGAAGGAAAACAGACATGGATCTTGTGTTTGCTATCTTGAAAACCTGATGCTCTAGTGAGGGGTGGGATGAAGTTTGTGTGCTGATGTTCACAGCTGTTTAAAGGAAAATAAAGATTGCAGAGACAGACATGGATCTTGTGTTTGCTGTCTTGAAAACCTGATGCTCTAGTGAGGGGTGGGATGAAGTTTGTGTGCTGATGTTCACAGCTGTCCCAAGTACCAAAATATTCAGGAGCTGAAGTACAGCTTTAGTCTGTTGTAGAGATTGAGAGCTGAAATTGTCAAACTGCTTCCAGATGCATTTTGTAAAAATGACAAGAGATCCATATCTTGGTTTTACTTACTGTTAGACTATTGTGTTGAGTAACAATTAATTACTCTTCTATTTGATAATAAAATTCAAGATTTTTAATTACTAAAGTAAGTTACATTGCTGCAGCTTTTAACAGGCACACTCTATCCAGAATTATTTGTTGTAGGATTTGGACCCTGTATGTTAGATCTTTTGGGTCCATTTTCTAAAGAAGTTAGTTCCCTCCTTTCAGATTGCACAAAGTTATCAGCTTTTGAATGAACTTAAAGTTCTGTCTTCACTAGTGGTTTGAATTGTTGTAGAAGTAAATGAGTTTCTCACAGAAGTTTTGTTTTCATTACCTTTGAGTATGTGGTTAAATAGTTGGCTGGCTGCAGTATTGGTTCTTCCAGATGTTGGTGTTCAGTGAGACACTTGACTCAGGAGAAGCCTTTTTAATACAGTAGCCTTTGACTGTAGTTTTGCATACTTTTAAAGAAAAAACAGTGAAAAATTACAGTGGAACCAAAACTTTTCCTTCTGTCATTTCCCTAGGAAGATGTTGTCGTTCCCAGTAGGCGAGTTTTGATCACTGGTGCTACGGGACTTCTTGGCAGAGCTGTGTTTAAAGAATTCAATGAAAATCGTTGGAACACAGTTGGTTGTGGATACAGGAGAGCTCAGCCCAGATTTGAACATGTTAATCTTCTGGACTCTATTGCAGTTCATGATATTATCCATGATTTCCAGGTAAGTTTCTGGAGTATACAGTGGATGGGAGGGGTACTTTGTGTGCAGTGCTCAGCTGATAGTGCTGCTGAGTTCTGGGGCGCGAGTGGGCTGGTGCTTTGGCCCAGCCCAAGGTGTGTGCTCTGCCCCACCCAGAGCAAAGGTTTACTCTGTAGATAGAGACAGCTCTGGCCTTTGCTGTGCTCACCACGGGCAGGCTGCAGGCACAGCTGTACGTGCCAGCACACTGCAAAGGAAAAGATGCTTTTGAGTTATTGACACAGCAATGTGCCAATATGCAGTTTTGGGGAAGTGGAGGAATATTTAAATACAACAGCAGTAACTGTGTAGTGTGCAGTGTTCACTGTTTTTCAGTCTGAGTGCCAAGAGGAATATATAAAACCTGAAATACATGATCCAGGATGCTGTTCTATAAAATAGTAAATATCATCTTAATAATCTGCAAAATCAAGTAAGCCGTGTGTAAATAGCTTACCTAAAATTTTTAGTACCCTTGTGTGTGTGAAAGATCTATCTTATATATTTTACTATACAGAGTTAAAAAGAAAAAAATCCGTACAACTTCAGAGTTGCTGTAAGATTGAAGCTACTGAAGACCATAAATTCTCAATAATGACAAATGTTTTTCTTATCTTGAAACAGTATGGTTTTATTGTAAAGAGGTACTAAGGAAAAGGTGTTCTTTGGAATGCCAGAATTAAAATTAACAATACTATTTTTATTACTTAGTTTTGCCTGAAGGTTGTCATTGTTAGAGTTAGGGTGCAACTGCCATCTCTTGACATGTTGGTTGTTTAAAATTAGTCTTTAATTTCCAGCCTCATGTTATAGTGCACTGTGCTGCTGAGAGAAGGCCAGATGTTGTAGAAGGCCAACCAGATGCTGCTTCTCAGCTCAATGTGGCTGCTTCAGCAAACTTAGCAAAGGAGGCAGGTAAGGAGACCATCTCATGGATTTGGTGTCTGGTTTAAATCCTGCATCTAGTGATACAGGGACATCAGTACAAATAGTGCAAATGTTAATGTCACTTCTGCCATCAGTGTGCTGTTGATCTGTTTTCCATAAGAGTAGTGTGCGCAACTCTGTGAAGGATGAGGGAACAGACAAAGCAGCAGGAATGAATGTGCATGGAAGATGAGATCCTTGGGAGATTTAAGGGTCTACTGGGATTTCAAAGAAGGCATGAATTAATATAAATCATCTATAAACATTTCCTTCCTAGCTGGAGTTGGAGCATTTCTGATCTACATTAGTACAGATTATGTATTTGATGGAACAAGCCCTCCATATAAAGAGACTGATGTGCCCAATCCCCTGAATTTATATGGTAAAACCAAACTGGAGGGTGAAAAGGCAGTTCTGGAAAACAATGAAGGTAAGACACACAACCATTTTTAATACAGGCTTTCTGTTTTGACTCAGTTACATATTAGCTTAGTAGACTCTTTAAGTCATCAATGAAGTTGCAAAACCATGGAAACGAGTTTCAGAGAAGAATGTGATTAGGAGTTGGTCTCCTTGCTCATGAGCAATTCCTCTTGCTTATATCTTGACTAAAGCTTTTATTTCTTACCTGTTCCAATCTTCATTCATGTTATTCATCTCTCCCTTATGAACATTCGTAAGCCTGTGTCTATTCTGAATCTGGTGTTCCTAAGGAAAAATAAAATACTTCATTCAATATACAGCTGCAGTTATTTATAGGGATGCATTGCAGGTGTTGTCATTGTATGTTTACTTAAAGGGAAAACCAGACTTGTGATTCAGTAATAATACAGGTCAAATCAACGTGGAGTCTTGCTACTCTTTGGGTTTTGCTCTATTATGTATACCAACAGGCCACCCATTTTGGTTTTAATCACCTGCACACATCATAGTCCTGCTTGTAACAAAAGGTTTAATAACTTATTTATGGTATTAAACAACCAGATCTTTAAAATTTGTTTGTCTTTTCTTAATGAAAATTTGGCACACAAAATATACAAACATAATTTTTAAATTTCTACTTAAGGGAAAATAGCATGTTCGCTTTAATTTAAGATTTATTTCTTGTATGAAAGAGAGATTTTGCTGCTTCTAGGTAGTGCACTGTCAGCATCCAGTTACAGATTATAACGAAAGAAGCACTTGCATTTTATCAAAAAAATCTGAAGAAAGTAATCTCAGTGCACATGCAGAAGAGGTTTCTGACACTCACACTGTGGTTCTGTGCTTCCCAACTGGAGAACCAAGCTATTGGTAAATTAGCATGATGGTCTTCCAGTAAGTAAATATATGCGGGGTATGATGGATTTGGCATTACTAGGAAGAAAGAAACTTTGTAAAAAAAATACTTTGATAGGAAAAGTCTCATTTAGGTAAAAATAAATTTAAATGACAATTATTCACTCCACCTCCAGATTAAAGACCATCTCTGAATTTGACTGCGATGCTGTTTGCTCCCTCTTCTAGACTGGTAATGACGATCAGACTTTACCAAATCCAAGGATGTGTGGGTATCTTGCTAGACCCTTCCCCCAACTCAGCTCTGCAGTTTGGTTTCGTAACCTTTTGGAGCAGGATCTGTCAGGCAGCAGTGGGTTGCAGCAGTGGTATTATTAGCAGGAGGAATGTTTAGGTGGTGCTGAGTAAAGGGTTTGAGAAGATGAGTTCTCTTGATTCATAGAAATACAAGTATTTTCCATGTACTGGTGTTCCAGCCATTGATTTACTGATACGGTATAGGTAGATTTCCACTGGTCAAATCTGTAGCTGTGTGAAGATCTGCCCTGTCCATTTCTGTTGTAAAATGTGAAAATCTCCAGTACGTGGTTTTAACTTTTTTTTAGAAGATATTTTACTTTGGTTAGAAGGGAATACATGCTTCTAAATAGACAAATATATAGGAATCAAGTCACGCTTATAGAACTACCAAGTGTCAGCATGTCCTCGGAGCTGTTAGACATGAGGCTGATCCTCTCCACATCCCAGAGAGCTGAGAATGAAAGGAAGGCAGTTGTCTTCTCAAAGAATGAATATTTTTAAAACAATTCAAAAATAGATGTTTCAATCAGTATTTAAAGACAATAGTGTATTTCGGAGTGACCAAATAACTGCATCTAGAGCAGTAGGAAATCTGTGTCATGTTGGGTTTTCTGTTTGTTTTTCTTGTCTAAGTACTTATTTTGGTTTACTTCTCTGTGAGAATAATGTCTGTGTTAGCTTTTTCTGTTTGTCTCTCCAATACCTATAGCATTTTCCTCCAAGTATATTAAGAATGGCTATGTTTTGATGACTTCAGCTTCTAATTTCAGTTCCAATTTTTTTGTTTTCTCTTTCAGCAAGACTGTTACTTTTATGTAATTTGTCATAGCCTTGGATTTCTTCTCAGAGGCTTTTTGAGTCTTCATGACAGACATAGACTAGTATGATGTATTCCATCATGAAATATGTTTCTCTTTGCATTTTGTTAATTTCTCAAATCACTGTCCTGGAATCTAACATTGTTTACTATTGTGTTCTGTGAACCTATTCCTTATTTGTCAAGTTTTTAATTTATTTCAAGGTTCATGATTTTTTTTTTTTTTCTGGTAAATAATATCCTCCTTTTTACAGGAGGCTTCTGCATGATGGGTCAAACATCTCTGTAATTTATGCCTGAACATGATGACCTGTGATTGGTGGAAATTTTTCTCCTTGCTCTTACTCAGAGAGGATGGGTAGTGCTGCAGTAATTGCACAGAGTAGTCAGATATTTTAATTTTCTAATTTTTGTTCTAACCCAAACAGGCATCTTTATGCAATTAATGAAAGCTTGTTGACTTTCTGGAAATCAGTGGCATAAATGAAAATAAATAATAACAATACAATAATTTCTATAATCTTAGTGTTTATAAACTGGTTTTGATAGAAATTATAATTATATTCTGTAAGCTAACATACTGCTTGCATTTTATTTGTGATTTGTAGATGCTTAATATGATCAGCATATTTCTTAACGCTTCCACTTTTCAGATTATGCTGCAACATTGGCACCCACCCATGATCTAAAATATTCTTTCTTTTAGAAACTGCAGTACTTAGGATTCCTGTCTTGTATGGAGAGGTGGAAAGACTGGAGGAAAGTGCTGTGACAGTTATGTTTGATAAAGTGCAGTTCAGTAATAAATCTGCCAACATGGACCACTGGCAACAGAGATTTCCTACCAATGTCAAGGATGTAGCAGCTGTTTGCAGACAACTAGCAGAGAAGAGAATGCTGGTAAGAATGGCAAGAAATGAGCCTCTGCAAGGTAAAAACAGCTTGAGTTGTCAGCTTTGCTTCTGAATAGCTGAGAGCTGCACATCACCTGGATTATTTGCATTTCTGCAAATAATGCTGGGGAGGAGGAAAGAACTGGTTGTAATACTACAGGATCCATGCACAACTGTGAGGGTATTGTGGTCTTTGAAGCAAAAGTGGTTGAAGGGATCAGACAGACCCTTCTGAAAACTGTCTCCTGGTATAGAGGAGAGAATTAGAAATGCCAACTACTCTGATATACCTTTTACAAATTGCTAGTTTTAACTAAAAATTCTCAAAGGTGCTATTGTTTATTGTATTAACAACACTAAAGTGGCCAAACAATGCCCCTTGTATTTGTTCACCACAGCACCTTCAGATTACCATCTTTGCAAAGTAACAGAGCCGAACAACAAACAGCCATGTTTATGTTTTCACATGGTAACTTTGAAAACATGGACTGGACTTGTACAGGGTTTGCAGTTTAACATTCAGAACGTGATGCCTTTTGCCTTTTGCTTTTGTTTTTGAGTAAGTGAACATCACAGAACAGCTGAGTTCCTCCTCCCCAGCTCTTTGACGTTTCTTGGTCAGTGGGCAGCTCCTTTCCTTCCTGTTCATTCTACTGGACACAAACTGACTGTGAAGCCAGGTCAGATAGAAGTAACACCAGTTTCCAGTCTCAGGTCCTGGTCAGATGTTCTGTGAAAAGGTACAGATGTTTCTAGAACACCACTGAAGTGCTGTAAGATATACCTTTTGATAGGGTCTTGCTAGATGCTAATTCTGCACAGTTCTTGCACAGGAATTAGCCTGAGGGCCAGCTGATTGCTTCCTTTCATCTGTTTCCTCTTTCTTCTCTAGGACCCATCAATAAAAGGAACCTTTCACTGGTCTGGCAATGAACAGATGACTAAGTATGAGATGGCCTGTGCAATTGCAGATGCTTTCAACCTTCCCAGCAGCCACTTGAGACCAGTAAGTGATGTGTTGTAGGACCTGTAGGCAGACAGATGTGCCTGATCATTGCAAGTAGCAGGTCTCACACTGGCTGTGCAAGTGAGCTTCCTCTTCAGGACAGGCTGTGCATGTCCAGCACAGCAGCTCTGTTGCTGAGGGGACTGGCTGGTATCAAGCTCAGGAAAAAAGCAGCTGCTTTGATCTGCTGAATTAGGAAAATGATGCGGTCAGTCAGTCACCAGTTTCCCAGTCTGTAGTGTAATGGTATTTCTGCAGAAGTTCCCCTAAGTCACAAGCAAATCTGTACTTTTATGTTAGATTGATAGAACGTTAACTTGAAGATAGGGCTCTCTAAAAGCTGTGCAATGTCCAGATTTATTTCTGAGTACATGCACTAAAGAACTGCAAATTATTTTTGCTTTGCTGAAAACACTCATCCTGCAGTTTTATTGACACTTGAGACTACTCTGAAAGACATACTGGTAATGTGATGGGCATATGACATGTCAAGAAGATTTCACTTACTTACAAAATAAATTCTAAGGATTCAGAATTGGTGAACACTGGAACTAAAATGTGACTTGGAAGGTGGAAGAAAAACAGTGCAGAACAATTAGTCTTAAGTGTTTTCTGCCCAACTCTATTTCTATTCAAGACATGGTTGTCTTCATATTGATCAAGACATGGTTTTGTTTAAGTTCTGGAGCATTCCTTACCTTGTGATGATAATCACAGAGTGAAAATATGAATAAAATATTGAAAACCACAAATAGTAGCAGAAAAAGAGTGAGAAAAAATTGCCATAAGACAGTTCACATGGCTTGATGGATTGAAATAAAGTTAACTATAAAACAAGCAAATAGCAAAAAAATGCCAGCCATAGAAACCTCCAGAAAATAGAAGGGAGGAGGCAACCATACCTATATAGAAAGCTGTGCTGTGAAGAAAACTTTCTAATGTACATGTGTAGAAGTATTTTTCTGTCACTTCTGTTTACTTATTGGTGTGGGGGATTTTTTGTCTTCTGTTTCTGTTTTTAGATTACTGATAGTCCAGTTGTGGGTGCTCTTCGTCCCAAGAACACTCAGCTGGACTGCTCCAAGTTGGAGATGCTGGGGATAGGTCAGAGAACGCCATTTCGAGCTGGGATCAGAGAATCACTTTGGCCTTTCCTTGTTGACAAGAGATGGAGACAGACAGTTTTCCATTAGTTTGTAACTTTTTTAGTAAAAGTATGGTATGTGGCACTTTTTTAAAAGAAAAATAGTTTTGTATGAGTGTTCTTAAATTGTGACATTTATGAGCTTTCATTTAATTGGGTAAACAAATGGTCTTGCACTAGTGAAACTTAGCCTAAAAAAGAGTTCAGTGACTAAAACTGAGCCTATTTAATGTCATGGATTTTTTCCTTCCATTTATACCAGTCTAAACTTGATATCTGTTCTTGGTGGATTGAGGTTCTTAGTAATGACTACTGTGTGATGCTAAGAATGACTCAGATCACTTGCTGACTTACTTTTGGCTGAAATATGTTGTTGATGCTTAAGGTCTGTGCCATTGTTGTATATACCATTTCTCTTCATTAAAAGACATGGTCAGTTACTTTATCACCAAAAATCTGAGGTTTTTGTTTTTAATTTCTGAAGATTGTGTTCTTAGGGAATTAAGCTGAAGTAGGAGTCCTTAAATGTTTGTTTTGCTTAAGCTCTGATCAAAATGTTTTTTAAAAAAGTGAAACTTTATTTTTGCAATTATCAAGTGTACTTTTTATGCTTGAAATATTTTCAGAATGTTCTGTAAATTGAATGCCTGCAGCTTTGTATTTGTACAGTAAGTTGTATGCATTTGTTTTCGTGGTGACTTACAAAAGCTAGGGGAGGGTGGGGACAGTGGGCAGCCAATAGTTTTGACCTTGGGGTTTTTTGGGTGGGGGATTGGAGTTGAAGGAATTTTATTTTTTTTTCTTTTGTCTGGGTGGTTGTTTGCTTTTTATATGAAAGAACAAAATATCTTCTTCCTTGCCTTCCCTTTTTGGGGACAGTATTTGCAACTTGTTAAATTAATGGAAGATGTTTGTTAGTCAGTAGGAGATGGAGAGGAAAAGTGTTCAATAATTTGTAGCACTGCAGCAGCTTTTGCACAGACTGTCAGGCCTGGCACTGCTGCAGCTTGTTGTGGAATAGCAGAGTGTGTGTGGAAAAGGTTTGCAGCATAATAAAACTGCAATAATCTAATATAAGACAGTCTTTAAAGCTGGACTCAATAGCCAGATAATGTGGAGGAAGAGCATTGTAAAGCTTTGCTTCCTTTTGAAGTTGTAGAATCAACTATATGAATGTTCTCATATTGCTAGCAGATTATTAGTAAAGGTAGTAAAAGGTCCAGTTAGATGGTCATTTATTTTTCTGAGGCTGAAATGAAGGGGAAGGGAAAGATACTCAGATTTAATTTTTTTTAAGTGTGTGGGGGAGACACACGCAAAAATAGACCAATTGAAGGTCTTGTGAGGGTGAGCTTCACATTCAGTCATTTCATTTCAACTGGCATATGCTAAGCAATCATAATCCCAGTCTGTTTTAGTCTGAAGTTCTGATATACACACAGTAACCTATCTCCAAAATGACAATAAATATATATTGCTAGCATGAGAAACAGTTGTTGATTCTTTCTTTACCATCAGGATTTGTTTATCTGAATCAGAAGTGTTTAAAATTCTTCTTGAAATGTGTGCCCTTTCAGTGTTGGGGTTTTCCCTTCTTTAATTCAGTAATTATTTTCAGACTTGGTTTAGATTGGATCAGTTTCTCTGTCACTGTCTTGGAGATGTGATAAATGTACACACCAAAGATACAGAAGGTTTTGAAAGTATGAGCCCTGAAACATCTTCATCCAGGCCTCAGGGCTGGATCAAGAAGATTCTATGTCCCTTCCCCTTCAGAGAGCAGTTTGACCAGGAAGGAAAAAAGGATGACTTCTCCCCCAAAGACAAAGGACCTAAGTGAGATGAGTTGGGCATTTTAGTGTGAGGACAAAATTGAAATATCTGTTTGGTGTGTTTTTTTCCACACTGAGCAAGTAAGTCCCACTGTCCAGTTGTTGCCTGTCAGAAGGGATCTGTGTCCTCAGCATCCCCCTTGGAGACTTCAGTCTTGAGGCATTTTGCTACTGGGCAGACACTTTGGATGACATTTCCCTCCTTCGGTTGTAGAAATCTAAGACAGCACCAATAAATATTGCAGGAGGCAGTGGAACTAACACTCTCATTTTCCAGTCACTTTAAAGATATATTGCTGTTGAAATAACTTGTCATGCTTTTCCCTTTTTGTCTCTGGCTTTGTTTCTGGCTCTGTGACACTGGAGGGGTTTGTGTTCATCCACAAGGGCCCAGGAATGGTTTCACCTTTTAGGGTGAAAACCGTTGTGATTGCCTGAGATACAGTCTTGGTGTTGGGAGGAAAGAGTGGCCTCTTTTTACAGAAACAATGCCAATTTCTGCCTGGTTGGTGATTGTGAAGTATGGCAATACACAGTCCAGCTCGAGTCCTCATGTGAGGGTTGTTGGAGGTTCATATTCATTTATTCATTGCTGTCTGTCAGCAGTGGGCATAAAGGAAGCAAAGTCACTGGTTGTGAAGTCTCATTTTCTGTTCAGGCTGGCGATGCTGTAGAAGCAGAGCAGGAGCTGATGTGTGTCCCAAACACCCATAGCCAGTGGCTGCAGAGCCAGCCAAGGACTGCTGGTGTCTGGTGAAGGGCCATACAGGGGTTGGGCAGCACCTTCCTGGGACAAACGGCCTTGTTCTGGCTGCTGGACATCAGCACGACACAGAGAGCACGAGCATGGGCGTGTGGTCCAGAACTGGGTGTCTATTTTTCAAAAAGATCCCAAAGCTCTCTGGCCCATTTCCAGAAAGGTTTGGAAGAAGAGACTGCAGGGTAACTAATTTGCATAGAAAGTGATAAATTCATCTCTAGGGCAGGTAAAACTTACCTGGAGAAAGGTATCCCCACCAGGCCCAGGACCGGGGGCACATCAGCTGGATCAGCACTGGAGCCAGGACTGGTGATCTTTTTTTCTCCCCTTCTTCCTCTCTGCCTCTCTTTTATCCATCTCTTCCTCTCTCTCTCTCTTTCTCTTTACCTTCACCCTACTCCTTTATGCAAAACTCCCTGCCATGTTATTATGCAGGGGGTCAGGGCCTAACTGATATCAATTTCCCTGTCAAGTGTGTAATTCACTAATAAAAACTTGATAAGCTTTTGCAGACCCTCTGACTTTTGTCATCCTTTACAACAACGAGTGAGTCATCTGAGGAAATTTCTTGGTTGTTTTGGGAAGCACAAGTGTAAGAAGTGTTCGCTTTCAGTAGAAACTCTGTGGAAGTGCTAGTGATGTAATCCCCAAGGACTTTTGTGCAGAGCTAGACTTTGAAGCCCATTAGACTTATAAGCAAATTGTTGCCAGTTTTATGGTTGTTTTGCCATTTTTTTTAGTTTTTGCTTCTAAACATTTGAATAAGGTTTAAACTGCCTCCTTGTATTCTAAATTCCCAATTTGCTAAGGCTTTTGCCAACAAACTAAAAAAGAAAATGGTAAATGTGTTAATTGATATAGTTGGATTCTGGAGTGCTAGATTGTCTTAAATTCCAAAATTTAACATTTGCACTGTAAAAACTGAAAGAAAAAATTGTCATACCTCTACATGTCCGCTTTGCTTTAGTACTCTGGGATTTATAGCTTATGAAAGCAAAACAGGAACATCAGATGATGCTTGAAATCTTTTTGGCTAGTAAGAGCCACATTTTTGGAAATTTACATTAAAGTTTCTAGGAAAACCTCAGCTCAAACCAACTGTTTAGTATCTCTCCTTCTCTATGTTATACAGTAGATTTCAAATAATAGCAGGCTGGCGTAAGTTGGTGACATTTCTGATCACACAAAGAGAATTCTAAGTCACAAAACGTCATTTTGGCATTTTTTCCATCTGCTGTCTGAAAGAGGATCTGGCCAAGTGGCCAATGCACCTGTCAGTTGCACACTAAATTACTGCAGCTGAAGGAAGGCAGAAGCAAAGTGCACCAAGTGCTGCACCCCTGGTCAAACAGAGAGGACATTCTGATCGCCACCTCCCTGGGCTGCAGTGCACTCAACAGTAAGACACTGATGTGCCAAGTTACAGCTGGCTTAGGAGGCAGCTGGACCAGCAGCTTCCCTCCCATACCCACCATGGCCTTTGAGAAAGATGTGTTTCAAAGGCTGTTGTGAATTACAGGGACTGCAACTGAATCTGTGAAGAAAAGCTTCATTAAAAAATAATTCCTCGGGATGAAGTTCTTCTGTGTGCTGAAGTTACAAGAAACAGCTGAAATAACTCAGCCTTGCCTCACATCACCCCTCTATAACATCACACACATATGTGAGCCTTTATCTCAGCACATTGAATTCAAGTTCTGCCACAGAGGCAAATATGGGTACAGGAATTAGGAGACTTGGCAGAAACCCATTTTTCAGTGATTGATATAAGGAGAAATAAGCCTGTTAAGGAGGACTCCCCTTCTGGCACCCCTTAGACTGCCCAATGTGTGTCTGAAGGGACTGCATGTCTCTCCAGAAGGCTCAGGAATCACCTGCTTGTGGAGAGCAGGATGGCAGCAGGGGAACAACAACTGCTCCAAAGCACCTGGATGTACCTGCAGAGCTGTGACCTGTGCCTGTGGGGCACCTGGCAGAGCAGGTAACATCATCTCCAATGATATCAGTCATTTCTACCCTAATGTACATAAGGCTGTTTTACATTAACTCACTAATGACTTAAATTATTCAGGTTTTAACCATTCTGATCCAACATACTCTGTAATTAAATTGAAACTGGATGTTCTTTTAAGTGGCACATCTTTATTTAAGATATTTGCTTCATGTGTTTACTTTACAACCAGTCACTCACAAAACTGCTTGTGTATCTAGCAATTACAGTATAACAGGAACTTAAATGAACTGTATAACATGATGGACATGTATAGCCTTTTACAATATCCACTGGTTTTCATGAGCTTTAGGATTTCAGAGATACATTGAATGGTAAGCTTAGTGCTCTCTTGAGGGTCCCTGAGTTGCAGCTTTGAGTTCAGGGAACTTGAGACTTTCCAGTGTTGCTTGTTTACTTTATAACAACTTTATTCAGCTACTTGCGTAAGCTAGCATTTAATTAAAGCCTTAGAGAAGTGAGACTTCTGTCTGAAATGGCTTCTTTATAACCTGAAAGAGGTCTCTTGAGTAGGATTGACTGTTCAGTGACACTGACTTCCAACATAATGACTACTGTGTAATGTCATAGGGCATTTGCCAGCATGAAAAAATGTCATTAATAGGTATGGAAAAAGAAAAAATGTGAAGGCAGCAGGGATTAGGAATTACATTAAGAAAACTATTACAGAAAAGATTTCTCTCTGTGCTTAATGTTCCACTGATTTCAGTAGGGTTCCTTACCATGCTTACATTTAAGTACAGGATAAAACTTCTAAGCATCAGTGCTTGGGAGTACCTTGATGAGAGGTGAATAAGGATACAGATTATGGACTTCCATGTATTTTTAAGTTTTGATAGTACTCTGTTGGGGATTCTGTAATTCAAATTGATATCAAAGAGTGCAGCAGTTAAGTTCCAAATCTTTTCACTGCAGTTTGGAACCGGTGATGGCAATGAGTGCAATTGCAGGGGATGGACCTGATGAGATCCCCAAAGCCGCTGCTCCTACCCAGTGACAATGCTGTACAAGTAACAATGTGTGCAAATAGGGCTTACACTGCATTTTATGGGGCTGTTGTATTGGTAGAAGGCAAAGGAGGGGCTGAGACAGTTTGTAGTTTTTTCTTTAAAGAAATCTGGGAAAGCTAATTGCTCGCAGCGCCTAAAAGTCAAGCACAGACACTGAAGAAACACTGTATGGGAAAAAGTCCCCTCTAACCAACACCTGTGGCTCTGCTGTTTGAGCAAAGGGAGCAGCCTGCATGGCCAGCAGTTGTGGGAACAGGCTCAGAGTCCTCCAGGATGGCCAACTTCCAGAAAACAGAAAAGACATTCCTGGCAGATATGTCCAGGAAAGCTTATTTGAAATTTTGAGGTTGATGTACTTTTAACACCTGGTTGTACATAGAGACATTTTCTCACCTCCTGCTATGCTCTTCCTCCCTCTACTAGCACTCCAGCACACAAATCTTTTTTAGTCATCAGCAGGAATTTTAATTGCTTGGTGTTTCTGATCCCCTTTTATAGACATATGCTAGATTTGCCTAGTATGTTTGATATACAACTGGTTGTACTTGTTGCCAATATCTTGTGGGAAGTTTCCAAAACAACTGAGTACTTAACAATTTCAAATAAAGGTTCTGTTCTTGCCTGTCTTGCCAGTTGATTCAACTGGTGTATTTTAACTCAACAAGCAAAAGGTCTAACTTTCAGAATTACTGATCATCATCTAATAGTGAGTATCTTACTCACTAGGAGAGTCACTAGTCTGAGTCATTAGACTATAGGTAAACCAGAGAGTACTTCTGAAAGTCCTGAATGATGGATGAACAAACAAAGTATGGAAAGAAGGAGTCAAGGTTAAGGAATCCATTAAAAAAGAAGCTTGGATTTGTATACCAGTCCTATCCACTTAGTTCTGCTGACCCAGGAAATTCAAAGAGGTAGCACAAATATCCTGTGTAAGTTCAATTAGTTCAACAACAGCTCTGAAGAACTCATCTCCAGGGCAAACACCTGAGACAAATCTTAGAAGGACAATGCCAACTGCACCATTTCTACTGTGAAGAAAATTGAGTCCTTCTCTTTAACAGCTGGAAGAAACAAATGGGATGAATCCATGGCCTGGGAGAGGTGATGGAATGCATGCTCAGCAAGTCTGCAGCTGGCACCAAATTGTGAGGAGCAGTTGTTATGGTCAAGGCAAGGCTGCCATTCAGACAGCTCTAAACAGGAGAACAGACACTGGCAGTAGTCTAAGTGAATTCATTTGGCCCATTATTAATGAGAAAGGCTGGAGAAGATGAAAATTTTGAAAACTGGAGTAAATGAGATGTTAAAAGGTTTTATGATTATGCTGGAGCAGATGGTCAATTATATGTATTAAAAGCTGACAAGGCACAAGGTCAAGATGAATGATATATTTCTATATTCTAGCAGGGGTGGGAAGAGAAGCATTTTGAGCAGCAAATGCTTTGCAACAGTGTAGGTTCAAAAAAGGAGTGTAGGTCTAAAGAACTGAAGATTTACCAATATGCCCTTGTATATAAAGAGGCTTCATTTTGCCCAAATTCTGTTTGTGAATGAAGATGGCAGGAAAGGAAGAGTTTGTGAATCGGAGAAGGATCCAGATGAAAGCAGAACATATTCCTCTATGTGATATTCTGTATATTTTCTCAAAGCAGTTAATCTAAATTGTAAATCATTGGTCTTAACAATAGTTTTACTTCTTCTTGCAAGAGAGGGCAATACAGGAACACAGCCCAGTGGATGACAGCAACAGTATTTTTTATCCCTTTCAGGTGTGTGAATATCAAAGAGACAACATGAAAAGCTGCTTGGTTCTCACAGGTGAAGTAGCTTCTGATTTTCTCCCTGAGCACCTAGAGCACCAGACATCCTGGGGGACAATCTTTGATTAGCTAAAGGAAAAAGAAACAGACCAAGTCTGTGCATGACTGTTTCAAGTCTTTAGTGGATAGTTAGCTCCAACAAAAATGTAATTGTGTACACTGATGACAGTTATACACAAAGGCAACAAATTCTGGAAGAAAAAAAAAAGCATAGAGACACACTGAAAGTACAAGATAACCAGTACCCATAAACAAAAGTTCTCCATGTGGAAACAAATACATTAGTGCAAATGAAGGTATGCTTAACTCAGTGACTAAAATGTTAAAATGTGTAATATTAGTCTTATCTTTTCATGCAAACAAAATGTACATACTGTAAGAGCAAACCTCCATCTGGAACCACTCTGCAGCAGTAGTGCTTGTCTCAGCCTACAGCAGGCCTGCACACTCCCTAAGAGAACTGTTCACTTCAACCTGACTTCTAAAAGCACAAAAGGAGTGTTACATATCCAGTCCATGCAAACCGGATGCACAATTCTAGTCTGAACCTTGCCTTGTGCTTTGATATCCCCTCTCCTCATTATCTTCTGTGCAATTAAGGGGGGAGTTTTGCACAATGTCCTCCTTCCTCCTGCTGAGAAGTGTTCTCCTTTGTTCATCAGGAGAAAAG